TTATTTTAATTAAGATTATTTTCATGTCCATGTTATAACACATACAATGTATGGACATGGATGACCATGGTGGGCCCAGGGTTGAAGATTACCATATCCACGTTGAACCTTTTGATCGCTCCATCAAGCTGTGGAGCTAGAAACAGATCAGCCTGCAGCTCACAAGTAAATTGTTTAATATTTTCAGAGAAATTCATGATATCGAAGAAAAATCTCAGACAAGCTCTTCTAAAATAACATAAAGAAGGTAAGCTCCAGCATAAAATTGCACAACTGGAATTTCTAGCAGGTACAGCCTACTGCAACTCTTATAGTTGATAATATAAAAGAACGCAAAAAGTCTTACGAGGCTGAAGAGGGACCCACACATATCAACCAACGAATAGGCAAACAGCAAACAGTGAACCCTTTTGCTGTCTTTGGTTAGGTTTAGATGTCTTCTACTTCGGAACTTCCAATTTTTCAGTTATTTAAATAAGTAGGCTAATTAATAAGCCTAAAATCCTGGTGACTGAACAGGCTAATCAATAAAGCCTAATCCTATTGATTAGATGCTAGGTTTTAGCCTTTTAGGAAGAGATCAGCGGACTTTCCCTATTTATTTGCACCCAATTCAGTAACAAAGCCTAAAATATGATGGACGTCTATAACTCTCTTCTGATTACTTAACCATTCTCAAAAGGCCTTCCAAACATTCCTTATTAAGATGTCTGCATAAGCATCTTCACATGTTACATCCAATTTAGAGGGAAGAAAAAACACAGATGAATCAGAAACCACAAACCAGAAAAACTTCATCACCAGTTGCATATCTTCCAGCATAATTTGCTAACAGCTTCTCAAGAGCTGAACAGAAATGAAAATTAATCAAAATGAAGCCTCAAAATACAAGACAGAAAGCAGAAACAGTCATAAGTTTTCACAGTGTTGAAGTTCTTATAAAAGTAAAAAGGAACTAATTGACTGTGAAAATTTATGATTGTTTCTACTTCCTGTCTTGTAACAGAAGTTCTTATATAAAAAAAGGGAACTAATTGACTGTCAAAACTTATGATTGTTTCTGCTTCCTGTCTTGTAATAGAAGTTCTTATATAAACAAAAAGGAACTAATTGACTGTTTATCTTTTTCAACTTGTCCTAGTAGGTGGACAATCTCTAAATACAGTTATTGAAGTATCAAACTGTAGCTTAAGATTCTTTCCTTTTTTTTTAGTGTTTGACAGAGAACTAAACATAACCAACCAATCACATTCACCTTCTGCTTTTACTTATAGAATCTTTTTCTTAACTTGAACTGGGTATCTCCAATATTTAACATTTTAACCATTCTAAGTTCCAAAGAAGTAATTGCTCCTAGGTGAACAGGTTTAACTGAAGACATAGCAATTTAAGAATGAACCAGAAATTCTCAATAGCTAATTGGTTTCTTTTACCCAAAAAAAAAAAAAAGAAAAGGAAAAAAAAAAAGCTGACTAGATTCAAAAATATCAAGAACACAAATCCATTAGGAAATGCATTTCATTACGGTAATAGGGATCCACCATTCAAAAGAAACACTAATAAATAAATCCATTAAGTGTAAGCTACTGCATGCATCTATCACATGGTCTGATTGAGGGATAACATAATAGCTGAGGGTCAAAGTCCATATCAATTCTCTGAAGATATTGATGACACCTTTACTTACACGTGCTCCGATCAAGTAACAGCACCA